GGAAGGACACAACTATTTCTGCCAATATTGAAGGAAAAGATAGCTTGTTAGTGACTTTTGAGGAGGGAGTAGAGGCATTACCATATGATCAGTGCGATTATGGGTTAGATGAGGTCGATGACAGCCAAGTAGTCCAGGGGAGTGACCATGCGGCTGCAGCAGCCCGCGGGGGAGGGCAAGGAGGAAGAGGAGGCCGAGGTAGAGGAGGCCAGGGTAGAGGAGGGAGTGCATCAGCCGGTCAGGGGAGTGGTGGCAATGGAGGCTATCACGCAGGAGGAAGGGCTTATGGTACCCTGCAGAGTGGCCGTGGTGCTGCTGCCTACCGAGTTGGAGGAAGGGGCAATGATGCCCTTGCCAACAATTACAATGTGCATTATATGGTTCCGCATAGATACCCACCAAATCCAGGGCGTTAGGAAGGCGAGCCTTGGAAGGCCCTCAAGATGTCAGAGGAGCCTTGACGCAAGAGGAGAAACGAGGGCCTATGCATCAAGTGTGGGGACCCCAACCACATCATTCCCTTCTGTCTGAAGATCAGAAATCAAACGAGTAGGAGTTGCAGCTGCTACTACTGGGACTTCAGACTTTGATAGTCATATAAAGACGCGTGCTGAGTTGGAAACCTCCTGTCTGAAGGTCCCAATGGCAGAGGCAGAAGTAGGCCCCCACCTAGATACCTGTCCGGGTCTCTCCACGTTGATCCCTCGCAGACATAGGCGATGAGTTGATCACTCTTTGCAAGGCCTGGGCGATGTAGAGTAAGAGTAGGCGCATCGGTAGATAGTGGATCTACGTGCAGCTAGATTTGTAGGAAGGGATTGAAGAAGTTGCATCTCGACATGAAGGTGCAGAAGGTGAGCGAGCCGGTAGTGAGAGAAGTGGCAGACAACCAGGAGATGAGAGTGGAGGAGTGCGTCAAAGGGATTAATGCATACTTCAGGTTGGAGGGGATGAAGAAAGTGGATAGAGCTTTGCAGTCTCTGACACTAGTAGTGGAGGATAACCTACCCTTTGACTTAATCTTGAGGGTGGGCTGGGGAAACACCGCGTACACAAACATTAAGATGGGCGAGCGCGAATGCTGGTTGCCCAGCCCCGAGGGAGGTAAGAAGATGCGGTCATTCCATGAATCAGGAGTCGAGTCCCGTCTGTCCCTTTGCTGTATGAACGCCCCTGCATTTGCCAGGCATGTCGTCAAAGAGGACATAGTTGACCAGGTATTCATTATAGCACCTTGTGCATGGAAGAGCAACGACGAAACCCTCCTATGCTAGACCGGTGAGTGAGGATGGAAAAGAGAAGGATGAGACATCACCCCAAGTCAGGAACTTGCTGAAAGAGTTCGCTGGTGTGGGAGAGGCCCCAACCAGTGTTGTAGAGAAGGAGATGACGCACAGGATAGAGATAGAACCCTACAGCAAGACGCCCAAGGGCCCCGTATCCCAAGGAATTAGATGAGTTGCGCAAACAGCTAGATGAATTGTTTGAGAAGGGGTGGATAAAGCCTAGTTCATCGCCATATGGTGCACCAGTCGTATTTATGCCTAAGAACTTTGAATGTGCATAGACTATAGAGGCTTCAACGCAGCGACAGTCAAGAACGTTGAGCCATTGCCGAAAATAGATGATTTGTTCGACAGGGTGCGGGGATGTAAGTATTTCTCGAAGATTGACTTGAAATCAGGGTACCATCAGATTGAGAACCAACCCGAAGATCAGCACAAAGTTAGGACTAGGCACAACCATTACAAATTCGTAGTGATGCCGTTTAGGCTGACGAATGCCCCTGCCACATTTCGGAGATGCATGAATAACTTGTTTAGAGATTGGTTAGATAAGTTTGTCGCTGTCTATGTATATGATATTTTGATCTTAGTAAATCGTTAAAAGAGCACCAGGAACATCTTCGTCTTATCTTTTGTAAGTTGAATGATGCTAAGTTTCAACTGAACCCGAAGAAGCGTGAGTGGGCCAAGTGCCAAGTCCTGTATCTTGGACATGTAGTCAATGGAGATGGAGTTAGACTGAAGGATGCGAAGATAGTGACAATTAGAGATTGACCAACACCGCATACGCTCCCGGAACTCCGGTCGTTCCTAGGAATGGCCAACTACTATAGTTCGTAAGAACTTCACTTCCATAGCTGCACCGTTACGTAGATTGCTGTGAAAGGAAACTGTTTGGAATTGGGACAAAGACTGCACTTCAGCACTCAAGAAATTGAAGAAGTGCCTAATCGAAAATAGCTGATGCGTCCCTTCTGTTTATTGTGACGACTGACGCGAGTCAATACGGTATTGACACTGTACTCCAGCAGAATGATGGAGAGGGATATAAGCCCGTTGAGTTCATGTCATATAGATTGCCTAGTGAGAAGGTTGCCGCCTTGACGTACAGGAAAGAGATGTTCACACTTAGAGAAGTTATGAAACGTTGGCAGCACTAGCTGCTAGGACGACACTTTAAAGTGTACTCAGGCTTGCAGCAGGTGTATGCTGCATGTGGGACATGATAGGAGAGGATGTGGCACATGCTTTCAATGACAGCTTCATGGAAACATTGACGGCACATGGAATGTTGCTGACATGCCAGGAGGGAAGCAGGCTGACGTTCACAACTATTTAAGCATGGCATGTCAAGGCCACAACAGCATATCGGGCAAGTAGTAAGTGGGTGGGTGGGATGAGTGCAAGACAATCGGTCGCAGATTTCATGGCAGAGGCTGGCAGTGACCATGCCTTTGTAGTGTTTGGAGCAGAGATTATGCCGCGTACATGAGTTGTAGCTGTGTGGAGACACAATGGCATGGCACAGCCACTATCCATGGTAGAATCTGTCCGATCTACACAGGTAGGGGACACTGCCTGGCCATGTACAGGTGTAGGGGGAGGTTCAGCCAGATTGTTCTCCGGAGGCTGTAGAGCTTGCGAGCGCACATCCACATACCGTTCCTGATTGCCCAGCCACAGCGAGTGGGATTCTGCCACTCGATGATAAAAAGAGTTGATGTCTCCCATCATGTGCACCCTACCGCCATTGTCCCATAGGGTCCTCGACGATGCAGAATGTACGCATGAGTATTCGGGTCCATGTGTGGCATGTAATTCTCTGGAGCGGGCTAGATATGTTCAAGCCGGGCGCAGTACTGTCATCCTCTGGGAAGACAGCATGGTGTTCTTCTTCCATCCAGGAGACAATGTCTGCAAAACCTGAGACAGTGTAGGGGTTGCAATTGTAAGCGGGGAGACATATTCCGCAGATTGCGCATGCACAGGTGGTTCATTTGATTCTGCAGATTGCACTGTAGGGCGAGGTTGATTCCGGTCTTGACAGTCCTGTCAGGTTCGTCTGGGTGTATTAACTTCGTTGCCCCTAGCATGTGTTCCTGAGAGAGATCATCCCCAGTCAGAAGGTGGATCATTGTCAGCTGGAGTGGGGTGGATCATCGTCAGCTGGAGTGGGGGAGCAATCGGGCTAGGTGGATGAGAAGTGGGTGGGTCAGATGCAAGAAGCAGAAGCTGATCAGCTGCACTTGTGCTGAGGGTGGCTGCTAGTCATGCAAATGCTGCACAGTTGGCTGCACCTCATTTCTGGTGAACACGCAGGCATGCAGCACTGTAAAAATCATCGCTGAATTGTGGGCATCGGACTCTGCATGTACTATTCCTGGCTAGTGTGCACTGGGAGCAACGGCGCCGTTCTGTATGGTTGTGAGCATGGCGTTGGAGCAGTTCTCTGATCGCCGATGGCGGCGTGATGGTCATGCTGTTCAAGTACGAATGAGGCCGCTGTCAAGGAGGCAGCGGTGGAGATGGGGAACATCTCCGCCGAAGAGGCCTCTGCAACGGTCAATCTGACCATGAATGCCTCCGCTGATGAGACCTCTCTGATGGCTGATCTGACGATGAATGTGTTGAAGAAGGGGAGGCATGCGAGGAGGAGGAGGAGGAGGAGGAGGAGGAGGAGGAGGAGGAGGAAGAAGAAGAGGAAGTTGACGGAGGGGACGACGAAGCAGGTGGGGGAACTGGTGGTAGTCATGGTGGTGGTGCAAATGATGATGTTAGTGGTAATGATGGTGGTGGTGGTGGTCGAGGAGGCACACTTTCAGCAGCAGCCACAATGGTAGGATGCAGGCCATCATCCCCTGCAGCCACTTCGACAACATGTAGGTTATTTGTTATGGCTGGCATGGTTTCAGTATGCACATTAGAAGCTGCCATTCTGGTAGGAATAACAGGGGAGGGCGTGCCAGCTGTGTTATGTGGAAGGCTGATGCTGCATGTGCGCAGAATTAGCATTCGGCAGTGGGTGAGCAATCACCCAGCGCACCATGTGGGGAAACCAATTCGTAAGCCAGGTGACATGAGTGGGTAGCCGATGCTGCCAGCCGCACACATATGCAGTCCAACCTCTGGCCAGGACATGTGTGTGATCCACACACATTATTGCTTGGACACACATGGATCCTGACCTCTGCTGAAATTGATCCTCAAAATGGAGTAAATTTTATCTTCAGAACTTTGAAACAAGCTGACACTTGCTCCATTCGCACCTCTGCGGAATGGATCCTCAATGGCACATCCACAGACCCATATGGAATAAGACATGGGTTTAATGGAACATGTAGTCACATTGGACTCACATACCTATCAAATAAAAGGGCGTGCTTTGCAAAAGACATAAAGAAGAGCAGACAGCACGACACAGACAAACCGTTTTTTTTTGCTTTTTTGTGCAGCTATATGACTGTTTTTAGAAATTTGGATTCCTCAAAAGGACCTGAAAAAAGAAGAAACCAGGGAAAAGAAAGTAACGAAATTTGGACAGCTGACAAACAACTTTTGGCACCTTTCAATCCAGTTCAGAACCAAACATCTGGATCTTGATGTCTGGATGAACCAGTCCAGTTTCCAGTGTCCAGGCTTGTGTGATAACTAGGTCCTAGGAACATTTAGGATCATGTCCGAATTCCAATGAAAAAGGCCTTCGCATAGCTTCACCTTCAGCATGTCATGAAAAGCAGCGACTTCTGATGCAACCGATGCATTGAAGGATTTTGCCGTATCAACCAAGCTGCTCCCTCCTGCATCCTTGACAAACTGCAAGAGCAGAAAACATAAGTGAAGCAGTGAAACACCAAGCAAGCATGTGGACCACTGAGAAATTCATAAATAATAAATCCCTTTTGATTGGAGCTCCATTTCTCATTGACATAAAACTACCTAAGGAGATAGGGGGAGGAAACCATCTGAAGTGAGGGAGAGTACAGGAATTTAGTTTACTGTCTTGGCATGGTAGGGGAAATAGGAACTGCACTGATGCCAGACTGGGGATCAAGATGCTTATGCTGCAAACTGACTCTCTTCTAGTGGTTCTTGCTTCACATCAGTGGAGGTCCCTCCTTTATTGCCATTCAATTAGGGTTTTGATTGGGAATCTGAACTTGCATGGTCTTCTTCGATGAGAACAGTCTTGGATAAGGTAACCTAAATTCACTAGTGCTTCCCGCCACTTGTCGTTTCTGGACTTATACCATGATATCCATGAATCGCAACGTTGTAATGTTTGCAGCTTTGCACTTGTATATGCATGACATGCTGAGAAGAAGTCCAGGTACATTCTGACAGCAGCAATCATTCTAGTTTCCAACCAGTACCTTCCCCAGCTGTGTTTTGTTCCAAGGCAGTTAACGATGGGCGCTCAGCCTGCCCAGACGAAAAGGCTTGTGATGCTAGCCAAAGAAAAGTTTGGGGCCTCTGCAGCCTCTGGTTGCACGCCGGGCTCAGAGGAGCGGAGTCCCAGTTTCGTTTTCGGAATGTTTCTTTGGGATGGGCACGAGATTGGGGAGGAATCGGTTTACATGCATGGTCGAATCTGACAGTAAATTCTCCCTAGCAGGAACAGTCAAGGCTGTTAGAAGTTTCCTGCCTGTAACCAGCGGAAGTGTACAGAGAGTTCCCATCTACGTTGTCACTTTCCGGAGGAAAAGAAATCAGACTGCTGCTTCCCAGAATAGGATGGAGCCAGGATCATAAGGCCCTGACTTCAAGGGGAGGGGGGACGGGGGGGAGGGCAGCAAGGGGAAAGAAGAAGGAACTGCACTGGCTCTCCACACTGAGCAAAACATGCCAGCAGTACTCCAGTCCTTTCCGAACTGGAGGGTATAGTCACCTATCATACAGCTCTCTATTCTACTTGTTTCCTAGTTCCAGAATGGATCTGAGACCTAAAGGTCTTATTTCAGGGGGCAAAAAAAAGGGAAAAAGTTCAAAAAACTTCAAAAAACTTGAAAAAAGTTTAAACAACAGGAGAAATGCAGACAGGTCTGATGAGTTTATTAACTTTGCTTTGAACTTGCTTCCTCCATGCGAAGGAAAAGTGCATGGAAATTACACTTTCATGGAAGATCAGACTCTGTAATCAACATCATCAAGTCACTGCTTAAGATCATACCTCTTGAAGATAGGTAGATGCCGAGAAGTGATATTTCTGCAAAACCGGAAACAATGCGAAGCAAAGCCATTTGTTTGTCAGCAATGCGCTTGACCCAGAAGCTGTCAACTGCCGCCCTCATAGGTGGTGATCCTCTTTCCTTTTCTCTTCCTGTCCTTCTTTATCAGCTTTTCAAATCACACTCATGGTGCAACAACCCATTCCTATTGCACCAAGTACCCAGCAGGGATGCCATGTAGTATGTACACAAAACAACCCATTCACGCCACTCCCTCTTGCAGGTGGAGGTTCTGAGCATTCAGAACAGGAACTGAAGTTTTTCCTTGTTTTCTCTCAAATGCGCATCTTAGGTTGCACACCTTTTTCATGATTGTTCTTCAGTTTTCAAACACTAAATTGACCTTCGCTTCCAATCAGGTGCACCAGAGAAACATGATGATGATGAAGTAACTGGAAACTGGAAATATTTCTTGTATATACATCCACCCTCTGTCTGCATTTGATCACAGGAGGGGACTTCCCCTGAACTCTTCTTCCACTTAGAACACAGCTTCTGAGTTCTCCTCAGGTCTACCCCCTCCATGTTGCAGCATTGATTTTTTGGGGATCAATACCGCAGCTGTGAATAACAGTTCTGTGCTCTGCAACGAGGCGTGGGAAGGGATCTTAGCTTTGGGAATGGTGGCAGTGCTGTAGATGTGTAGAGGGAAGAGAGAAGAGCGGGAAGGGGTGTGTGGGGTGGGGCTGCATGAGGAATGGGGGGATCACTCGCACAGCAAAAATTCAAAGCAAATGTCATGGCAGGCTCTAGCCTCTCGGTGTACTCTTTTACTTTTTCAAATTTCCTCTTTATCAGAGATGATGGTCTGCACCTGTCCTTCGGGACATCCATTAAAATTTAAACTTGAAACGATACCAAGAAGATGAGCATGGCCCGTGCACAAGGACAACACACAGTTTTAGGGGAAAAAAGGAGTAGATGGTCTCCACCTCAGGCCGTCCTTGGTCGAGTCCTTCACATTTCAGTCAAGAAAACTGCCCAATCCTATTGATGTACCTGTGTTCAGAAAACTGCCATTTTTTAGGTTGGCCCGTGCACAAGGACGGCACGCAGTTTTAAGGGGAAAAAAGGAGGTGATGCCCTCCAGCTCAGGCCATCATCCTTGGTTGAGTCCTTTGGATTTCAGTTAAGAAAACCGTCAATCCTGTTGATGCAGCTGTATTATAATAAAAAAAGGAGCCATTTTGGAGGTTACTTGGAGTCACGATAGTACAGATTGTAGTGAAGGAACTTAAATGAAACAAAACAAAATGATTGGAATGTAGTTTCTATAACTTTCTAAATGCTCGTGTGTTGCCTGGTGCTATTTCCTTTTGCCTCTCGTCAAACAAACAATCAAGAGGGGGGGAAATGACCAAAATTCCAAGGGGTATGCAGAAGAAGCTTTCTACAAAGACGAACCATTGACGTCCAGATCACACAGCGAACTCACCGTAGGCGCTCCAGTTATCATGTCAAACCATACACTGGCCCATGCAACAACTGGTCTGGTGGCTGGTGCCGGTGTTTTTGCCAAGCAGTTATAGTTTTCTTCAATCTGTTCCAATTGATTGGGCCACACATAAACAAACAGTTAAAAAATGTTAGCATTGCCGTGATTTTTCAGTTGATTCATCTTTGTATGATAGGAAGGCACCAACATATCTTTCTATTTCTCCGTTATTATGCAGGAGAGGTTGACTGTCAGCTGAACGCATACTTTGCAACAAGCCCCCTCCCCTATCAGCACTGTTTCCCTTTAAAAACACGTGCCTGAAATTCAGAGCGATCCCTCTGAGTCTCCGGCCGGAATCTGCCCCCCCCCCCAAAAAGAAAAGAAACAATAATCTCCAGGGTAAGTTCAGATCATTGAAATGCTTGGACCCTGCTTTGGGGCCTGTGGATGGGGTTATACCTGCCAAAGAGAAGAAAAATGAATCTTTCCCATCTCTATTCGCACTATCCTTATGTTTTAGTTGCCTGGTTCCACACTTCTCTGGCCCGTCGCTATCCTTTCTTCTATATCTAAATTCTCGACGTCTCCTCTCCCTTCTGACCTCCGAGGAATGGGCCGGATTCCTTGCTGTTTCTGTTGTGACAGTTGTCGAGCCGATAGAGAAACCTTCTGCGCTTTAGCCCCTTTTCGCAGGCTGGTGCCCCCTGCCTCACGAGGGGGCCCACCTTCAGTCCTACCAACCCCATGAGTAGTCGAGCTTCTCCCATGCCCAAGCTACGCGTAGAAAATCTCCTACCAAGTCACCCACCTAACCCCTTCTCTCTGCCCATCCCCAATGAAACCCTTCCCCTGACTTTTCCTTCAACTTCTTATCTTTCGTACACTAGACTCTCAGCGTTCTCGACCTCAAAGGTCTCGTTTTCCAGGATATAAACATAGGGACTTCACAGGCATTCAACACACCACTCCCTCACCCTGCTGCTGCATTCATTGTGGAATAGGGGGACTGTTGCTTTCTTCTAGGACTCTAGGAAAACATACCCTAGAGACCCGACTGATGGCTTCATACATGGAACGTCAGTTACACGGCTCAGGTTCCATTTACTTAGAAAAAGACTTTGCAATACATTAACCCCGAAACAAACACAAGATATTCACTGATACGATAATGGCATCTCTTCGAAGTAGGGCCCGCTGAGCTATGGCCATGTCCAAACTCAAAACCTTTTTTTTTTTTTTTTTCCAAACTCAAAACCTGACATCTGTTATAGTTAAATTCTACCATCTAATTGCAAGGATCAGATTTGCATACAGACACACAGAGATAGTCCAGCATGGCCTACCTGCTACTCATCTTGTTCACTAGGTCAGGGCCAGTACTGAATGATATATTTGTCATCCTTTCCCTATTTCCCCCCATCTTTATCCCATCCTTACACTATCATTATCCCATCTTCCCCCACATTTATCCCCATCTTTACCGTCCTATCTTAATTTCCTCCTCCCCCCAACTTTATGCAATCCTTGCTCAATCATTACCACCATCTTTACCCCAAATCACTCAACTCAAAACTGAATTCATTATAGTGGCCCCAGGAAATTTGAAGGTTGTTGATGCTCAACGTGCCACCATCTCTGGCCCTATCATTCCTATTCACTGCTTGATTTTCCATCATCAACTTGTCCAATCATTTTTTCCATTCAGTGCACCACTCCAACCACAGACAACCTGAACCTCCATCCGATGTTTATCCCCAAGCTTGTCCTAAATTTGACAATTACGTTCAACCCTGGCCATATGACCCGGCCCGCAATGATCACTGCCTTGCATCCTACGCCACCAGTCCCATCCCCCGAACACAAAGTTTTGGGGTGGTCGGTAGAGATACCTCCATCTGCTTTTTGTCTACCGATGGATACGCCACACCCTGGTCTTACCCCATCCTGAATTATACAGCTGCAAGTTGAGGGTACTGGTGCCTTGATCTTCAAAACACGCCATTGTGAGCCTATCCGGTGAACATGGCGACACCCCATTGCATTGCAACCCTGGTCTTACCCCGCCCTTTTCTGCTGGTGCTTCCTTTTCTTCTTGCGATAGTCGACCCATCGTAATCCCCAACAACTGTGCACCAATGAGGGAACAGAGGCCAAAGTAATGGCTAGGAAGCTAGAGTCAAGTCGAGTACTGGAGAGAGACTTCTCAGTTTTCAAAATCTTCTAGCAGATGCCCACCATCACCTCAGACTTCACTCTGTATCACCAAATTCAGTTAAGATTATGAACAAAAATAGTCTTTGACTCTTTGTATAGATAATAATTTATGAATACATAAACCACAGGCTAGATGAAACTGATCATGGTCAGGTACTTCCAAGGTCCAGGGCATCCACCTGCTCGCAGGAATGCAGAGGTTGGTAAGGGAGGTGATGTGCTTCTGTGATGAGGCACTTGTAGGTTCTCTCACCTGTTTGAAAACTCCTGTTGCCAGCTGCTCCAAGTTGAAGAACAGAGAGATGTACTTGATCCACTCCGCCCTCTGTGCCCCCACAAAATCAGAAGAAGACATTGTTTCCCACAAATGTTTGGAGTGGATGAGAACCGGACCCGTTGAGAAGATTCATACAAAGTATTGCAAAGTTGCAAACTGAAAACACGAAGAGAAAAAAGATATATCTGGAGTCTGGACTGTCTTGCTGCTGGTACTATTTCCACCTTCCATCCACTTCAAAGTTGATAAGAGTTCCATGTGTAAGTAGTTTAGGGCAGACCGAAATAGCCTCGTTGTAATGAAAAAGATGAAAGAAAAAGGTTGGTCCGGTCCGCATGCACATGGGCCTCTGCTCGTCCTGCAACTCTCAATGGCGAAGCCAGTTAGCAGGTGGTTCACATACCCGCAGCCACTATCCTTATGCAGACACAGTGTGTGCATTGTGTGGCCACAATCCACAGACAAAGGAGACGGAAAACGTTCAGGGACAAAGCTGCCCCCTTTTACTTTCCATTCACACCTGGAATGGAACTGGGACCAAGTACCCTGCCTGCCTCTCTTCCTCCTTAGACTAATGCCTTGCAGCATGCATCACACCCCATGGAAAACCCACACGAGGAGAAGTATTCCGGTGCCCTGGCTCTCCTTCTCCGAAGTGCGGAATATCCTGTCCTCCTCCTCCAGTTGCTGCAAATTAACATTGCTGCCTGATGATGGAATCAATATTGCAAAAGAGAAGATACATGCCCCTACGTAGCTCAGTGGACAGGGAGAACTTCCTACCTCGATGATGCGGGGCTTGCAACAACATTCTAGAGGTCAACCAGTAGCCCTTGGTGATGAAATCCCTCTTGGATCAACCAGCTCCATGAAACTTCTGAAGGAAGGAGGCAAGCTCAGGCAACGACAAACAGCTTGCTGTAATCTGAACAGACCTATGCTAAAAGGATATGATTGAAGCCCTGAGAAAGGAGGAGAATCATCCGACATTCTCAAGTGGAGAAATAACTAAAATGGAATCCCTCTTCAAGAACAGTGAGGTATGTTTGTTTGTGGCTACACCTTCGCAAGGAGTTCCCAACTGATTGGAGCCTGATGATTCTGCAGTCAGCCAATACGTGGAACACAAGCTTAGGACACAAAGCAAGGTAGCGCACTTGGCTCTTGCCGGTAATCATGGGGGTTGTTGCTCAACTTCTTGTATTGTCGTTGAAGCTTACACATGATATCGGGGTTTGGCAAAGCACGGTAACTGACTACCTTGGAACTTCACAACTATCGACATTTTCAACTGACGCCTTGGGAAATATGGATTATGCACGACTGGCATTTATTCACTACTGGTATGGATTTGTCTATGAGTCCACAACATATGGGTTGATGGTGGCCCCAAAGGAAGTGCTCAGGGAAACATGCCTGGGCAGACATTTTCGTCTTCGTCCTAGGGCGGATGGTTTCCACCAACATTTTTGGTCAAAGGCTTGTCCTGTGATCTCGCCTTGCAGTGTTCTCTCAATAAAGAGCTTTCTATCCTGTAACCTCTACGGCACTTTCCGGTTGACTATACAAGTGAAGAATCATGTACTTTCTAGTGTTTTTTTTTTTTTTTTTTCCCCATTTATTTCTAGGATTGCGTGAGTCTGTCACCATTTGTTTGGGAGGGTGGGATTTCTACTGAACCGTATGCTTCGTGCAAGTTCTCGCCAAACCACCAGGCTGTTTTCCCAGTTATTTTGTTCCGACGCGGTGGTTAATCAGCCGCATAGTTGGGGGCTCAGATGGAGAAGGCTGGCAGCACCAGGCCAAAAAAAAACAAGTTTGCACCCACACTTCTATGTCTTTTTTTGGCGCTTCACAGAAATCCGGACGGGAAAAGGAGGCTTGGAGAGAGGAGCATTGTCTGGGAAATGGATTGGGATTTCATTTAACGTCTTTACACAACACACAAGTCATTGACAACTCGAAACGACTACACAGACTGGAAGAGGGCAGAGACTACGGTCGCAACAGGACTTCATCGTTCCAACGCCAAAGGTTTGAGCCCCAATAAAGGTCAACGGTGAATCATAATTGAGGCCTTTATCAGGGTCACTGTAGAGCCAGGGACAGAGGCCATAAAAATGAGGTAGCACACTGATAACGGTGGCAAAACAAAGCCTGAAGAAGAGGGATGTGAAAATACTCTCGCTGAGGCGACGGAAAAATTAGCGCTCTGACAGAAAAATTAGCGCTGCGATCGGCCCGTGTAGAGTAGGCAAGCCCAACTTTTCAAGTGGACGGCAAACTGCCACGCTGTCTCTCTCCCTGAGTCAATGAATTTCCGGACGCATCAACAAATTTCCAAACACGCAGTCCGTCGAGCTGGGCAGAAACAGGGCTATGGTGGCGGTGTCGCCTGTGTTGTTACATGCGAAGTGTCTGGGGGTAGTCGAGGGAAGGGGGGGGGGGGGGGGGGGGGGGGGGGGGGGGGGGGGGGGGGGGGGGGGGGGGGGGGGCGTGGGGGGAACACCCCGGTCAATGTGATGCGTGGATAGAGAGCATGGTCTGCATGGCGGGCTGTTGCGATCTTCAAAGGCACAAAACTCCGGATGCGGATCGGCAGCGACCTTCGACATCACGAAACCCCCAGTGTGGGTTAGTGGCAAGGTATGGTGGGTGATTGGTCGTCTGTTTATTTGGGAGACAGAAAGTACAGATGGGGAAGAGGGGGAGAGGAGTAGGGTAAGGTGAATGGAGGTGATTCGGACAGGGCGAAGAAGGAATGAGTTCCCTGGCCGCGGTCAACAGCGGGGCACAGTCAGCGTAGCTGCGTCATTAGGTTGGAGGGTTGATGGGCACTGCATGGCGTGGATGACCTCTTTGGACATGGTGACAATTGCTGGCCTCCTTGTCTCACACAGCCATCTGGACATGTTCTGGGAGCAACCACATATGAGGTGATTTCGGGTACTCGGCTGTAGCTCTTCTTTGGGTTTGTGATTCACAACCTTCTTACGTGAATCGTTCCAGGGGGCCTGTATGGGCAAATGACGACGTGGTTCGGGGGAACAGAGGCGGCTCCAGAACACAGTGGCACAGGTAAGGATCAGAAGTTCGGCATACGCAGGGATGTAGGGTAGGCTAAGATTAATGGTAGAGTGTGGGAGAGGGTTGCAGAGTGGAAAGAATCATACATGACGAGAGTGGGCGAGAGGAGTCTGGCTCCAGAACCCCTTGTGCAGAGGCAAGGCTGGATACAGGGTGGCGACAGAAACATAGGCGTTGTCTCCTGGTCGACATAGGCCTTGAGTCTGGTCGACGTTTCTCCCCCCTTGATCACCCAACATCATTGGAGTGTTGGCAGGTAGTGGGGTGGGATTGACCAGTGACAGGGTCAGGGGTAGTGGCGAGAACGATCCGAAAGGAGGTGGGGGGGGGTAGGGGGAGCGGGGGTGGGGAGTGGGAGTGGTGTCGGGAGGGGGGGAGAAAATGAGAGTGGTGTCGCTGTCTCTTATACACATCTAGATGTGTATAAGAGACAGGGTCTGGTGAATTATGTGGTGGATAGAGGAAGATGTGTCGCAAGACCGGTTAACGAGGTAACCTATCTTCAAAACACTTGCATACGTACACACATGGTGGTCGGCAAATTGCCAGACAGGGTGCAGGCGTGGATTACAGGTGCTATGAAGGCATGGATACAGATGCTGGAGCCGTTTTGGCTTATGGGAAGTGGGGAGTGGAAAGGAGAGTTCGAGGTGGAGAGAGAAACGTTGGTCACATGCTTGGCTCCTTCTGTGGAGGTGAGAGATTGGCTGGTCAATGACCAGAAGAAGGAATCTCTGCCACTAGGGGGAAAGAGGGTGGAGATAACCCTACTTACATGGAAATCCCCGGCGGAGCGGGAGAAAATGAGAGTGGAGGAAAGGAGGAGATGGCCATGGGTGTGAAAGTGTACCGGACTACACCGGTGGCAGTGAAATGGGTGAGGGGTTCAGTGGCAGCCTTTTTGGGGATGATTGTTAGCAGGAGATATTTTGGGGATAAAGAGCGAGAGTTTACAAAGTCTGTGATCAATGGCCCGCTGAGAAATGTGCATGCAGACAGTATGTTAGTTGCAACAGGCCCATACACTACCCAGGAGGTACGCGTTGTCAAAGGGAGTTGTGGTGAACCCTGGACCCGATACTACAGTCGGGCGCACAGCAGGATGCATGGCGTCTCCTTGAGGCCAGGGTGGATCCGCAAATTTGCCGGGAGATGCAAGAGGCCAGAGTTCGGCGAGAGTCAGTGGAGCCGACTCCAACTATGTCGGGGGGAAGTACCACCAGGCACAGGAGGGGCAGGTGGGGAGGTACGTGGCTAAGGTGGGAGCAGCAATAGATGGAGGACTTGGGATATGACCCTATGCAGACAGACGAACCTAGGTGGCTGTTTGGCGAGGATGACTGAAAAATTAAAGTCGGTAGGGAGGATCTCGACTCAAGTGATTTCGTTGTCTGCAATAGCGCCCCGGCCAGGTAGGTTGACGAGAAAGCAAGGAGCGCCAGCGCTACGCGGCCCGCGGCCAGCAAGGCCTGACCGCCAGGACCCGCCCACGTGCTCGGGGACTCACTGTCCCCCGGGCCTTGCGCACCCGCATTCCCCAGCCGCCCAGGCTGGAGTGGCAACACCACGTGGACCACATGGGGTGTGGTGACCCCAGCGCCATCTACGTGAGGAGAAGCTTCTTCCATACAACATCGGTGGGAGCGGACGAGCAACAGCAATGGAGAAAAAGGACTTAGCAACAAAGGGGGTGTGCAGGCCATCCCTCCTGACCTGCAGCACCGAACACCACAAGAGCCGCCCCCCCTCCTCCGACAGGGCAAGAGTGGGTGTTGGCAGCAGAGATGTACAAACGACAGATAGAAGAGGCACTCGTGATTATGCAACACAACTTTGAGAACTTACCGCTGGAGCTTCTTCGGGAAGCACAGGAGGTCTTCAATGGATGGGAAGACGAGTTGCGAGCGAGCGTCTTTTTGCAACTACAAGATAGCCTTGCCAACGACCAGGTTTCCGGTGAG